ACTTTTTATGCATAATATGAATTTCACGTCATTCGTAAACCAGGCGGCAGAATACGGGGCTAGTCAGTTGTAGCTTTAGCAATATGAAATACAAGTTCGAACGCACCAGGCTCTCCGGTGTGATCATGCGTTTTTGCATTAAACTCGCAGACCGCTATTAGCAGCAATGATCCCTACGCTGTAGCCTAACACTTGGGTCATGTTGACGTGTTTTGATCCTTTCCGGTATGGAGGAGGAAGGGTGTCAGTTGGGATGAAGGGGTGCATTATTATAGCAGCATGGATATCCAGGTGCATGATTACCGGCTTTTTGCATGAAGTCCGGTCGTTTTTATGCGTTTTTGCCGTGCGGCGCTAGAGTGCTGCAACAGGCAGCAAAAACGCACATTGCAATGACCCTGTCAGCATAAGTGTGTGTGCGTGTGTGTGTGTGTGTGTTCGTCTGTTGGGGTATTTCAACTCGCCAACCACGCAAGCTTTGAACCTGGAACTTTGCCAGTGTGTTCCCCAGCCAAGTGCCACCCCAGGACAGTGGTACCAACCTTCACGCATGTCTGGACCCCGCGTACGAGCACGTGAAAGTTTTGGTGCGAAAATCGCTAACTCGAGAACGAGAAAAGCTAGAAAGCTGAAACCTTGGAGGAATGTTTCCTACCTGTGTATGACAAAAAGATTTCAAATTCAGTTGCTCAGGAGTGCCCGGGGTTTACGTAGGAGCACGTGAAAATTGTGGCGGAAAAATTCATAACTCGAGAACGAGAAAAGCTAAAAAGTTGAAACTTTGGGGGAATGTTCCATACACATGCACACCAAAATTTTTAATACTCAACTCCTTACGACGCCCGGGGGTCACGTGTGGGCACGTGAAAATTTTGGCGCGAAATTTCCTAACCAGGGAATAGGAAAAGCTAGAAAGCTGAAACTTTAAGGGAATGTTTTATACTCATGTACGAGCAAAATCAAGTGTTTAGGAGCGCCCGGGGCCCACGTATGGGCATGTGAAAATTTTGGCGCGAAAATTACTAACCCAGGGACGGAAAAAGCTAGAAAACTTTAAGGGAATGTTCCCTACTCATGTAAGAACAAAATCAGGTGTTTAGAAGCGCCCGAGCCCAAGTACGCGCGTGTGGAAGTTTTGGTGCGAAAATTGCTAACGCGGAAACGGGAGAAGCTAGAAAGCAGTAACTTTCGGGGATGTTTCCTACTCATGTACGACCAAGATCAGGTGTTTAGAAGCGCCCGGGGCTCGCGTACGGGCATGTGGGAATTTTGGCGCGAAAATCACTGATCTGGGAACGGGAAAAACTAGAAAGCTGAAACTAGGTAATGTTCCCTATTCACGAATGACCAAAAGATTTTAAATCAGCTCCTTAAAACCGTCCAGTACTCATTTAGGGACATGTCATTGATGTGAAAACCGATAACTCGCGAATGGGAAAAGCTGAAGGCTTTAATTTTAAGGAGATGTTCCCTACTCATGTGCGACTAAAAGATTCCAAACTTAACTCTTCTAGTGCGGCCTTTTTCGCGGACCAGCAGCTTCCCATTTGTCGGGTCATTGAAGTCGACATCTACACTGATATACCACATAGCTGCACAATTAACATCCCGAACTTCGAGGGCAGTATGTCATAGGGCTAGCAAGTGTGATTTCTTGCGATCTTGTTACGGCACGAAACTGCGAAATCGCATAATCGCACCGGCCCGCCTGGTGCGTTCCGGCCTTTTATTGAAAAAAAGCAAATTTCCAGTTCATTGAAAGCTGAAAGTATTGCTCGAACGGTCGTTCTTCAAAAAACCCATGTTCATTTACATATACGATTGCGGTTTAGGTCCGATTTGCGAAAGATTTTTGGGTTGAAGAGCTGCTTGAGGCTGTGGTTTGGGAGCTCGGCAGTTGAGTTAAAAATTTTTAGCTCGTACGCGCATAGAGAATATCCCTGCAAAGTTTCAGCTTTCTACCTTGCCTGGCTAGCGAAATCGTTTCTCGCCAACATATTTCTATGCGGGCCCCGTACGCTGGTTCTAGGCGCTTATGGGGAAGATCTTAAAGCGGGAGGATGAGACACGGGTAGAAACATATATCCAAACTTTTTGCCTCCCAGCTTTCCTGGTTGCTGAGATGAAAGTGGTGACAAAATGCATTCGCTTCCGAACACACACACACACACACACACAGACAGCCTCTCGACAATA